GCTATTAGGTTGGAGGCCATTGCTTCTAGGTTGGAGGATATTGCTATTGGGTTGGAGGTCTCGCTATTAGGTTGGAGGCCATTGCCATTAGGTTCCATGCTTATTTATTAGGGTGGAGGCCATCGCTCCTTTTGCATCAAAACGAATCACCGACTGAACTCTCAGGCCTCCGGCCAGAACTGCGTGTGGGCACCGAAGGGTGGTTGAGCGCCTGAAGAAACAGCTGGTGTTATGCAGTGATTTCAATGCAGAAAGAGAAGGAGAATAATATGAAGGTGAAAAAGAACAAAATGAGATGATGATGATGATGACGACGATGACGATGATGAAACAGAAGAAGAAACTCTTTCCTGGTTTAAGTTTTCACAAGCAGTTGGATTGGGAAATCAATGCACCAACCCTCACCAAGGGCCTGGTCCAGATGCTCAAGCTCTGGTGGAAGCTCTGCGCCGGCAGAATGCACCAGTGACGGTGCCTCGCGCAACGTGGCGCCTTCGAAAACGTGGGCCGCGTGGGCCTCCACCCTTAAAGCGATGGCCTCCAGCCTAACAGCGATGGCCTCCAACCTTATTATAGCGATGGCCTCCACCCTAGTAATGATGGCCTCCACCCTTAAAGCGACGGCCTCCAACCCTTCTTTTATAGTTTCTTTTCGTTTCTTGGATTCAACACTTCCGGATTCCATTCCGATTGCGCGTTTGCCGACGTGACCCAAGTGTCCAGGCCTCTCCGAGCACTTGCTCCGGAGATGAGGTGTGGGGATGAAGACCTGCGAAGACCTGTCGGAATGAAAAAGGGCTCACATCGTTTTGGACGCAAACTGTCAAGATGAGTGTGGGGCCAAGAATCTTGAGGACTCGGATTCAAGAGAGTTTGATATTCTAGGTAGTGGGGAAGATCCATTAGACCTGCCTACTTCAACAACAAGGTTAAAGGATGTGCAAGACCTTGAAGACCTTGTCCTGATGTTTTGGATCACTCGATCACTGCTCACGCCCGACTTCAGCACAAACTCAATGACCGCCGACGTAGCAGGTGCAGCTGGAAAGGCAAAGTATGCGAAGCGTCATTAGTGGGCAGCTGCGAAGCTTCTTGGGAGATGTGATGAGGATGGAGGCCGGGGAGGGAGTCCGTAGCGGGTGCCCTGTCCGAGTACCCAATCTCCATACCTTGTGCCATGTGCAACTTGAGAGCCTTCCACTATTTCAACATGTTTCAAAGTCTCTTTTTTCGAGAACAGGCGAGTAGCTTTGAAGACTGGTTCTTGTGGCGATGGCGCGAAGGCTCAGTTGAGGCGTCCGCGTT